GTGTCTATAGTAGCGCGAATTTAGTGTGATCCCTCCACTCACTCGAGACGGCCGTACTCAAGAAAAAAAATATTTCAACGCCGCAGACTCTTGTCGGCCCAGACGCACTCACGTAATTCTAGGCCACCACAAGGGAACCACGGACCACTCTTGAGATAACGGCCGCTGCAGGCGGGCACTGCAGGCGGGCACTCTAGATCGGTGTGGAGTGCGCAGTGGCCCAGACACCCAACCCACTCCAGGAATTCTAGGCCACCACAAGGGAACCACGGACCACTCGATAACGGCCACTGCAGGCGGGCACTCTAGATCGGTGTGGAGTGCGCAGTTGCGGGTGCACCTGACAACTCTAGAAAGCGATTTGACGGGGCTCCGTTCTTGAGCGTTTTACTCTATACAATTTCTTGAGTAAATTCTGACTACTCTAGAAGGAAAATTTGAGGTTCCTAGTCTAGAGTAGTGGAGCGAGACCCTATATCTTTTACATCTCGTTTGGTAGAGAGAGTAGTTCACTGTTTTATCTTTCCATGTTCGTTTCGTTATTGGTTTTGTTATTTTCTTTGCTTTCCTTTTACCGACCCGTTCCGTCTTCCTTGTTTAGAAAATCTAAGAAGATGTTTCTCACTGTGTTGTCTGTACAGTTCCTGATGAAGGCCAGAATTGCCGAACGTGGTCTTCAACGGGTATTCCAACAATTTAATCTCAGTGCAATATAATTCCAATACGGCAGACAAATCTTTCATGTCATATGTGTTGGTTATCATTCTGTGGAAAGTGTCGATGATCGTCAACACTTTCGTGTTCACCGAACTGACACTCCAGAAATGACGGATAGACCTAATAGATAGAGACAGCCACCATGACTGCCAAAGCGGTGGCAGCCATGGTAGTAGTTCTCGTGATAGCCGTACTAGAAGAGAGGGTAGCAGAGAGAAAGGGGGGAGAGAGCGGTGTGGGAGACGCAGAGAGAAAGACAGACGACAGACAGACGAGGGATCGGAGGGAGGGGAGCCCCAGGGATGCAGGGCCGGATAACAGTCGAAACACGAGAGAAGCAAATAATAAAAGGTGGAACGACAGAAATACACAGGCACAGGCCTTCCCGTGAAGATCTAGCAATGCCATGGAGGCGGAGGATAACCCCAGAGGGCATTGTTCGTGAAAGTAACAAGGCGGGTCGACAATCTTGATAGGCTCAGCGACGGTTGTTAACAAGCGGACCTGGCACCGGACCTGAGCGAGATATCTCTGTACCGATTCCTTCAAGGAAGTGTTTAGCCCTGAGTGCATCTCGCCAACAGTATTGGAACTCGATCATTTCACTTGGACGAGAGAGCCTCATTCTATAGAGGCACCGGTGCAGATACGACACCCTCCTCCGTCTTTACCTTTGATGTCTCGGCGTGAAGGCAGGCCAAAAAACGGGAGGGGACACAGGTGAGAGGACCTTTTCGGACAGAATCCAACCGTAATAATTGCGATCGAGTATCTTTGAAAGCACTGGGGCCAGCATCACCTAAGAGGGGACAAAAAGGAACACAAGATTTTCCCATCTCCCCCAAATCAACTTGGGTCTCTTCAGTACGTCCATAGATTGCAGCGAAGAATTGAATTGAGACTTTGAACGTAAGACTTCGTTGACGGGTAAGTTAGAGAGAAAGGAGTATGATCCAAATCGTTCCTCTTACCCAAGAGCCTAGCTCAGTGGGTACACCCTTGAACTGTTGAAATACAGACTTGTGTTCGAATCCAGGTGACGGAACTTGACGAGTAAAGCCAACTACTAATGAATTGCTTGGGGCCGGTCAGCTCAATGATAATATCTCAAGGCCGTCGCCCTTTTATTAAAAAAAAAAAAAAAAAAAAAAAAAAAAAATCGTTCCTCTTGGGTTGCCTTACCCATCTTCAAACCGAATAAAACGCCCGGTCATTATCGCCGCATCTCGTCCGGAAGTTGCCCCAAAGAAAACGTATGTTAGGGGGCAAGGTCCCAGGCGCACGGATTGAGACAGAGCCTGTCCGTAGGTAGACAAGGAACATCGAAGGCCACTACCTCTTGAAATCCATGCAAATGGACCGCGTCCAAAAGACGCGCCCCAGGCAATCTTTCTTTCAGACCGGTCGTGAAACGGACACGATTCCATGAGCAAGATCAAAGTGACCGTCTTTCCCCGAACACAACGCACCGTGATCGAGAATGTATACTCCCATTAGCGACCTTTCCGGTCCGGTACAGGCATGATGAGTGGGTGGGTTGGATTTCACAGAGAGGAGGGAAGAGGGCGATGACTGGGGAAGCAACGGAGAAGTTGAAGAACGTGAAGCAGATAATGACGACGTGTGTTGATGAATGGAATGAAGAAAGGGAAGATAAACTGGAGAAACAACGAATCGAGCCCGCTGTCAAGGAAAAAAACAGAGTTCAGACGGGATAAGGGAAATTGGTAAATGTGTACCTGCCTTTGTGGCTGACTGGTACAAACATATAGCTCTTGGGCTCTGCTGCAATCAGATTACTACAATGATCGAAGGGGCTCTACTGCTTGAGTGCTACTGATGGTCTTATGAGAGGGATGGAAGTAATTGATACAGGAGCACCTTTGAGTGTACCTGTAGGTGAAACTACCCTTCCTTCCGGGGGGAAACAAACACAAACAAGAAACTTGAGGACGAACTTCGGGCAACCATCGGCCAAGGAGAGTCGTCCAAGACTTTGTCGGGCGGGCGAGAAAGAAGGAAGCGAGAGTAATGACCTCTCGTTCAAGCACGCGAGCCAAAACTCGATTCCTGAGTGGAAGGCTGGAACTACCGTCTTCACCAACGGGCCTTGCTCAGCTGGTACGCCAATGAAACTATTGACACACAGAGCTGGATTCGAATCCAGGGGAACTATATTGAAATTCTGGAATAACCTGGGGCCAGCCGGTTCCACGATGATACATCTAAAGGCCGTTGCCCTTCTGGAAGGAAACAGAAAGGAAAGAAAGGACTTACCGTCTTCACCCGAATAGAACGCCCAATCATTATGGCCGTATTTGGTGTCCATAATGACTGGGCGTTCTATTCGGGTGAAGACAGTGGGTGCAGTGGCTCCCAGGCTGGCTATGGCTAAGCTGAGGCCAGACGTTGCTGCGCAGTGGTTTCGGCCCAGGCATGTCACCCGCGATGCGATCTGTAGCTTGGGACACAGTCCCAACTCCACCTCTACCAGATAATTACTTACTTCAGAGCACTGGGCCAGGTGTGCCCACTCACCTATCGCGGCCCTGTTAGGGCTGGGGGGTCTGATTGTGGCTCTCTGGCTGAATGTTCTAAAAATCCACCGATTCGAGAGAGCTGGGGGCGGTCACTCGTGGATAAACTCCTCTTTCAAAAAGAAAAGAAGAAAACGAACATCAGATAAAGAACAAAGAAAAAATCGCAACGGCAACAGAGACAGAAAAATGACAAGCATACAGCGGTGACATGGTCCAAATAAGCTATCTATACACAGAGCCAGGTGGGTGAAGGTAACAGGTACACACACACACCCCATGTAAACTCCTCATCAACAGATCGAGAGTAATACCAACAGCCAACCCCTCTGAGAGAAGCAAGAAGGGGACGAGAAAAGAAGGGAGGAGACGAGGAGGGGGGGGGGGGGGGGGGGAGAAAAACGTTGTGGTTGGTCTATGCTGAGGGAAGGGGGAGCTTGTTCTTTCTTTCTTCTTCTTCTTCTTGTTGCCCTCTCTCTCCTCTGAGGGAGGAGAAACAAGCTATCTGTAGAACACGTGAAATACTGTAATCTCCTTCGAGAAATCCCTTACTAAGGGCCTCGCTGCACTACTCTTGAAAGGTGCAAAACGAGAGTGAATCTTCCGCTAGAACATGGAAAGATACAGCGACATGAATTTTGTCTTTTGTGGATTTCAAGAGTAGTGCAGCGAGGCCCTAAGTAAGGGGTTAGCATGCCATGTGCCCATGGATGACACGCACAAAACGAGAAACCATCGGAAACAAAACAAATTCAAACCAAAAACAAGTTAATTTTCTCCCCCGGCTGATTTCAGTCCGACTTTTCATCATATACCCACGGCATGCGACGGTCGATTCCTTCCGGTACCCAAAGACTCACAGCAGGAAGTTCCTGGAGGTATCCGACTGACCTCGTCAGCGAACAAGACACCTGAAGAGACCTGATGGCGACAGGCCGAAACTACCGTAGTTGGGTCCCATCGCCAGAAGCTTCGGTGTCGAGACTAGCTTTGTCTCATGCATTTTTTCGATACGTTCGGGATTATTCTGATCATCGCGATCACTTGTGTACGTGTGTTGACTGAGCTATCACCCTCTGCTTCTGCCTTATATGCTCTTCTTCTTCCTTTTTTTCCCTTTTCTTCGTCCTCTTCCTTATCCTCCTTTTCCTCGTCTCCTTCCTCACTCGTGTCCTCTGATTGCTGAGTCAGTGGGTCTTGATGAATTGATGATTGCTGTGGCTGCCTTCTTTCGAAGTTGTCTTCATGGTTTGATCCATGGATTGTCATTGTCATTTCTGACTCAACAACACTTAACCAAATGCAATCCAGTTAAGTATAACTGTGGATATGCCCTTCCCGTGAGCTTCGTCCACGGAGAACAATCACATGCACGTGCGAGGTCATTGCCCACTCTCCCTTCCTCTATCCCTCTCGGGATCGTGTTTCGCTTAACCCTTCGGGATAAAAATGGCGAACCCAAGTGCAGGTAAGGTAAGGCGAAAACAAGCAGGGAGGAGGAAAAGGCAAAAAAGCAATCGCGCGAAAACAAGCAGGGAGGAGGAAAAGGCAAAAAAGCAATCGCGTCCAGAAAATGGTGGAAGATGTAAAGCGGTTGTCACTCAGTTAACACAAAGGATGCCGACCTGCCACCCAGGTACACAGAGGGGGGGGTACGGTCCATCAAGGGAGGGGGGGGGGGGGGGGGGGGGGGGGGGGGGGGGGGGGGGGGGGGGGGGGGGTGAGAAAGGGCTCTTGCCGACCCACCTGGGTCTTTCCCGTATACGCGTACTCCAAGAGAGAGATCAAGACGCTAGCATCAACGTGCGGCAGGTGGACGACACGATTCAACTCGTCAGGTGCACTACTTCGACATCGCCTGTCGTCGGCGAGCCACAGATCGGCCAGCTTGAAGCAACACGATGCCAACAGCACGCTGTGTGCGTGCACGACGATGACATCGTCATCTTCCTCGTCTTCCAGTGCCTCGGAACGGGAATAACAGCAGGTTGGGTCGGTGGATCGTCTAACGAGAAACAGCAGGTCCGCCAGATGAGCGCAGTTAAGAAAACGTGAAAGAGAGTGGGAAACCTCTCGGAAAAGGGCAGTGGCGCCCTCGTCCGCGACAGAGGAACTCACGGCGGCAAAATCTACAGAGGGAAGAAGGGATATATTGCGGTATCCAACGTACCGATCCCAGCTACTAAGTCCTACATGTCGAACACGATGATTTTGAGGATCGGAATCGACCCATCGCAGCAGGAGATTCTTCCCCGGATCCCCTCTTCCAACGCTGATGACACCTTGGTTGATGTCAATCCAGTACTTGGCAAAGTCTCCGTTGACGTCAATGGAACTTTCCACGTCAGCAACAGGCTGGCAATCCACCTCGATCTTCACACGCCGGTTCTTGTGACTGCCCAGCACAACTATGTAATTGCGACTCTGCTCAGTGCGGTAATGTCGCGCCCCGATATCTTCCGTGAAGACAACCGTTATGTCATTTTCCGCTCTCGCTTCGAATGACAGGCAACCACTGCCTGGACTCTTGAACTGTAGCTCCTCCCCCGACAACCAAGCGCATTCGAACGGAGGAATCACCAACAGGCTGTTCGAAATCACACGCGTCATCTCTCTCTCTCTCTGTGTGTGTGTGTGTGTGTGTGNGTGTGTGTGTGTGTTTGTCTGCCTCTCGGCGCGTGCGAACGAGTGCGGGTGTGATGTGCGTGAGTTCGGGCGTATTTACACCCGTCCGTGCGTTAGGGCGTGTACGTGGGGTCAATGTGTAACTCTGCCTGTGCTTACGAGGTGGTGTGTGCCTGTGCTTGTGTGCTGGGTGAGGTTCAAATCATGTGCAGATCATGACCGCCAACTCCGTCCGGAGTTTCCACGTGGTCGATCCCTAGCCAAGAGCAATAGCTCAGCCAACCATCCGCTACAGAGAGCACTCGTCGGCATCCCCGATCGTGCATACGAACCAGTTGCCAGAGAGGAGTACCGTTTCGCCCATTTTTAACCTCCTCCGCTGCTTAGCGTCTCTTGTGTAAGAGGTAACTTCGAGCTATTGCCTATCGTTCTGCCACCGACCAAGAACATACTCGCACTACCGATATGTAGTCTACCTTTCCCGCACTACCGATATGTAGTCTACCTTTCCCGTCCCGAATTCGACCGGTCGGGTGGGCGGGCAAACAGGCGTTCGGTGGGATAAACAGTCACACTTTGTCCAGTTTCAGAAAGATGAGCGCGGCATACATTTCCCAATTCTTGGGGCGGGCATCTCTGGACGTGCCGCGTAATCATCCCACCGCCAGCTCAGCCGGCCGGTGGCATTTCATGGGGTTGATGGTCGGTGCTCGACGATTTAACGACAGGTGCAATCGGCAGCCAGGCAGCAATCAGCAGATTGACGGGCAGTGCTCGAAGTTTCAACGACTGGTGCAATCAGCAGCCAGGCAACAATCGGCAGGAGGGATACTCGCCATAATACAGACAAATTTAGCATCGTGCGACCGAAAGTACCCATCCCCTGCCTCGGCGCCACCAAATACAACGTTTCATCCAGCGGCCTAGCTCAGTTGGTAAGGCTTGCAAGTGGCATTCAGGAGGTCGTGGGTTCAATCCTCATTGCCTCATGTACCTTCCTGGCACATGTTTGGCACCTGCCTCGCGTTACCGTGGGTCCTGTGCCTTCGCACTGGCCGCAGCTTCAAAACGGTGTGCTGCAGTGCCATGCGGCCGGGGCTGATCGTGTTCGGCCGGACGGTGACTACACACTTTGTGGTGAACTTTGATTTCCAAGATTGTCGTCCTGCTGACCGTAGTATTTGGCATAATCTGTGGTGTTTGGGTTGCAAAGCAGTGTAGCAGCGATTGTATCCAATGGGTAATTCAGCTATACAGCAACGAGGATGGGCGCTGAAACGAGAGACAGAGGGGGGCAGCAAGGAAGAAGGTGAATGAACCAAGACAGGGGGCCGCGCTGGGTACATACAGAGAAGCAAGGCGGGCGGCTGTGAAGACGAGACGAGTGCAGGAGTGGAGTGACTGGGCTGTCGGGTGATAGGACCGTTGTCGGGCGCGGGGTCCCACACCCAGACGCAAAGTATTTTTTGGTGTTGAACCTCACGGTCGCATCACGCAGGAGTTTTTAAAAGTGTTTGAGCTAAGACCAACTTCGACCGTGCGCGCCAGCTATACCTCTCGTGGCTCCCCACGACAGGACAGAGATCCCGCGAGCTACAACTCACCTCCACCTGCGGGAGCTGTCACCATCCCTTAGGTGGGCGTATCCCTGCTGAGCTACTGACTCACGTACGAAGGTTTTTACTTGTAATCGCAGAGGTAAGTCAGTCGAGGGCGTTTGCTCGATCGTCGTAGCATAGGCATACGCGCGGTTGAACGCCTAAGACTGACCCATATACGCGTCGGGCATCGGGGCGCTAATCTCCCGGACCGACTTACAAATCATGTCGACTCGACCGACGAACGTTCACGCATACTACGCTTTGCCTATATACAGTTCCAATAGGTATGACTCATTACCTAGCTCCTTTCTGAAGCACGATCCCCTCAATGCTTGAGTTACCGGGGATTGCGCATAAGATACATACTCATCCTACCTAGAGATTAAGTCCATTCGACATATCTCTCTGTGAAAACCCTTTAACCATAACATACATACATGTAAAGTGAGATGAGGCTGAGTAATTAGGCGAGGAAATGTCACATACACATAACACATTTACACAAACAGTCTGAATTCATCAAGGGAAAAACATAGGTCATTGACCTTTCAAACAATATAGATGAAATGAACATGAAATGAATAAGGTTTGTAGACTTAGCAATAATCATAATCTGCTTAACAATCAGGGAGAAACACAAGGTTGGATATTCCAACCAAATGTATAAATCGCATGTTGACGAAACATCTGGATCAAGGCCCAAGATAGCGTAAGTTTCTCAATGGGTTGCACTGAATGACGTGGCTGGTCGTTTTACTGACCTGCAGACAAAAGTCAATCACATTACACAATCCTAGCGGATGTCAACCATTCATTCTCTTCCACAAACAGAAATGTCATTTAGTGCAAAGGTTGATGCAAAGTGTGGGTGTAGAGGGTGAGTGAGGGTTGAGTTGGCGAACCAACCTGTTACCATAAGGCAACAGCATGTAGTCTTGTATAGAATCATAATAAGTCTTCTTGATCAGGATGACCTGCAATCACACACAGGTCAACAATGTCTCAACACCTCTTCGCCATCGACATGACCCCATCTGAAGTTCATTATAGTGAATTTCATTTTAGTCGGAATAATAGTACATCGATATAACTCCCTATAGGTAGCCCTCTAACTTCTTATCAGACCAATCTCTAGAGATAATCGGCGGAAAGAAGAAAGTATAATCTAGCGTCGTCAATACTTTCATCCTCGTCATATGATTCTCTATTTAAGACATGCATAGGCAGAACATCATCGATCTCATTTGGAGTGAAACATAAGATTAACATCAATCAATAGGTTAAGGTAGCAGGACATGTCACACGGGGTCACATTCCTTCTACCTCCACCTCAGTAGAATCAGGAAGTGGTCTGTTAATAACGGATCGATCTCTTTTCAGGGTTTTCACGTTTTTCTGTCTATCGAGAAAATTAGTAATAGTATGGTAGACCACTCGAGATCTACTCATCTTCACTGGGCGTCTGTTTGTGATATGGTAGACCTCATGGGGTCTCGCTTCTCCTATCGCTGTTTCGTATTGAAGCACGGCTGGCGGATAATAAGGCCGGCTTCTCGGAGCCTCGCTCCTCTTATCACACTGTTCTTGTCATTATAGTGATACGGCAGGCTTCTTAGAGTCTCGCTCCCCTTATCACACTGTTCTTGTCATTATAGTGATAAGGTAGGCTTCTCGGAACCTCGCTCCTCTTATCACCGTCCGTGTCGTTTATTGTGATAAAGCAGACTTATCGGAGCCTCACTCCTCTTATCGCTCACTTACACTGACGAACGGCTGGTTGGTAATAAGACAGGCTTATCGGAACCTTGCTCCTCTTATCACCGTTCGTGTCGTTTATTGCGATAAGGCAGACTTCTCGGCCTCGCTACTCTTATCACACTGTCTGAGTCATCACAACGATCATTGTGATAAGGCAGGCTGCTCGAAGCCTTGCTACTCTTACCACATTGTTAGTGATATCATCGTGATAAGGCACGTTGCTCGGTGCCTCGCTACTTTTACCACATTGTTAGTGACATCATTGTGATAAGGCAGGTTGCTCGGAGCCTTGTTACTCTTACCACATTGTTAGTGATATCGTTGTGATAAGGCAAGCTATTCGGAGTCTCGCTACTCTGATCGCTCACTTACATTGACGTACGGCTGGTTGGTAATAAGGCAGGCTTCTCGGAGCCTCGCTCCTCTTATTATCGACCGTGCCGTCTATTTGCGATAAGGCAGGTTTCTGGGAGCCTCGCTACTCTTATCGCTCACTTTTCTCACTTAAGTGGGCTTAGGCGATAAGGCAAGTCTCTCGGGACATTGCTCCTCTTATCATCCTCGCTGGTTTACTCCCTCAGAAGAACCCCTGTGTCTTAGTGTCACTGTGTGACCCTCGCTGGTTTACTCCCTCAGAAGAACCCCTGTGTCTTAGTGTCACTGTGTGACTGTACGCCATTGTGTGACTTTGTGTCACTGTGTGACTGTGCGTCACTGACTGTGTGTCATCGTTTTCGTGTATGTATCACAGTGTTTGTACGTGTGCCACAATGTATGACACTGTGTCTGTCACAGTGTCCGTGTCACTTGCGCATGTGTCACCATGTGGCACTGTGCGTTATCGGTGCAAATACCCTTACAAAGGTATCCGCCCTGGTTTTTGTAAGCGACAGAAGATAAGGCTGATTTAAAAGTTTAGGTATACCGCGCAAGGGCGCGACTGTGTATGTTGATTGCGTTGACTGGATGGTTGACCAGAGTAGAGAGTGTGTGGGCGCGCAGATTCGAGGCGCGCGTGATATTTTTACTTGTTGATGACTGAAGAGTCGGCGTGATCGCTGACAAATTTTTATTTTCGTTTAAGTAAGGCTTGAAAAATTTATGTCCGTTGTGTCCGCTGATTGGTGTGCTTACCTGTGACTTGTGCGTACATACGAAGAATGGCAGCGACGACGCGGGGGTATTAGAGTAGCGTAAAGGGGCCCGACAGGACTATCCCCCTGGGTTTTTCCGTCAGAGGCGTCGGAATGATACTAGCGGTCTTTTTTCTCCCATTCATCGTATTCTGACGATTAAAAGTTTAGATATTTTAATATTTTATTTTAGTGTTATTATTAGTTTTATACATAGGCATTTCTTGACTCGGACGCGGCACCGATTTTAGAGGCCGTCACGACACTCGAGGACCTTGAGTATGTGCCTCTTTTGACGGGCCTATTCGGATTTCGAGTGTTCAGGGTATTGGCAAAATTCTTGTGCCCTACCCGTTTTGGAGCGTGAATCGAGGAGTTCAGTGTGCATGCAAGCAGACGGGTGGTTGAGTCCACGAACCAAAAGAAAATTGGGTGGCAGGGCTTTCCGAGGGCGCGCCGCCCGTCAGACTGTGGATAGCAATGAGGAGTTTGAGTGAGGCAGTGTCGATGGGGCATGGAAGGTGGCGGACTGTGAATAGGCAATATAGTCCGCGGCGCAATAGCGCAGGTTGTAGGCAGTATGCTGGCGGAATTTCTTCACCCCAGACGCTCAAAAGTCTCACCTTAATATCTGCTACAACCATCAAGATCTGCAGTAGGCCCGACGCTCGCAACTCCGTGGCTACGACCCGTGGGGAGGATTGTTTGTTAGCAATCTGAAAAGGGGGGGGGTTCTGCCTAAGCCGAGCGATGAGAAGAGGCCAGCGGAGGGCTGCAGCTGCATAAACGTGCAAGCCGCTTGTCGGACAGGCCGTGGCGCTGAGCGCTGTCGGATACGGGAGGCTGAGGACGAGGCCGACGAGGTGGTGAAAAACGGCGGGGGAATCTGGATTGGAGAAGCATGCCGATACATGCGATGTAGAGCAGTGACGGGCGCTCGAGCTGGGCAGCAAGGCAAGGAGCGACGGGCGAAGTGACCGGGACCGATAGG